CCAGATCCTCCAGCAGAGACCGGTCCACCGTGGACAGACCCAGATCCGGCTTCTCTACAGCCTTGGACCTGCAGTCGGAGCTCCAGAGGGAGGAGGAGAGCTCAGCTCCCGGCAGCAGCAGCGTCTCCTCCTCCTCCTCCTCCTCCTCCAGGAGCAGAGCTTCTCCTCTCTAGGTGCCAACACCGACACCACGCTGCTGGAGACCCAGAACGTATTGCTGGATCCGCTGGAGGGAGGGAGGGAAGCACGGGAGAACCAGAACCAGAACTGAGAGGGGCAGACTCTCAGACCCTGCTGCAGTAAAATGAGAGGTTTTCTAAAGAGACTCTGGTGCTCAGAAACACATTTCCCACAAGGACGGCCAAAATCCACACAAACTGAAAGTTCCTCGTCGTAGCTTTAAATGACTTTAGAAACAATCATAACAAATCTAATCATTTTATTCATTTATTTCAAACGCTCTGTTCTTCCGTCCTCCAGATCCACGAGAAGGATGTGATCGGAATCGCCCACCACCCCCACCAGAACCTGATCAGCACCTACAGCGAGGACGGCCTGCTGAAGCTCTGGAAGCCTTAAAGGTGTTTCAGCCCAAACTGAGACTGGACGTTCTCGCTCTGGACGCCGCTCTGCCCGTTCTGTTCTCTTTACAACACTGGGGGGGGTGGGGGGGGGTGTCACTGTGAACTTGTATCCATGTTGACGATATCAGCAGCTCACCTTAGTACAGGTGAATCTTCTTTTTTTTCCTACGATTGAAGCCGTGCAGCTGAATACAACCAATGACAGTTTGCGGTGTTGGAGCGTCGGCGCAGTAGAACCTTATTTACCTGAGACAGTTTGTTCAACACAGAAATGACTCATTATTACTTTTTAATGCGACGTCATTTTCTTTTATGCCATTCATGAATTTGTAAGCGTAGGTTCGAGTTCTTTCGCTTTTGTAAAGAAACTCTCAAAATGTGAAGCAGACGTGTGATTATTATTCTGAACTGGTCGTTACACATTATTAAGGAAGGTTCTCACATTTCATTCATTCATCCGTGATATTGTTTCAGGTAAAATAATTTAAGGTTCTGCTGTTCAGAGACGGGAGCGGAGGTGAGTGTAGATACTAGTTACTCGGTTTTATTTTGAAAATTCCACTTTTTGTGTAAATATATTTTCTATTTGCATTTTAGTTTTTCTCCAAGAACACCTGGTTAAATAGTATTTTGTTGTTTGTGTCTTTGTTTTCTTCCCTCTTTTTAAATTTCAACACAAACATGTTATGGCATCACTCCAAATTCTTTTATATATATTTTGTATCCTGAAATGATTTAGTTCTTTCAACACGGAGAACCAAATAATACATAAAATGAATAATAGTCATTGTAATACGTTTGGAATGAGACTTAATACGCCGGATGTACAAATGTCCCATTAATATATCTTGTCTGTGCCATTAAAGCTGTTTAACCAGAACAATGATGAGAAATCACCTTTTTAAAATGTGTTTACTTGACGTTAAGAGAACCTGAAAATGTAAAAAATAGTTTTTAGAAGGTTTCAAGAAACGAGGACACCAGATGTCACTGTACAGTCTTTACTGAACTTTGTTGTTTGGAGACTTCAGACTTTCAAAAAATCCTAAATTTCCAGCCGTGCGTGCTGCTGTGAAAGGAAGAGGAAGCGCTTGATCCCTGAATAAACTGGTCTGATGGTTGTTGGTACAGCAGCTCTGTGCAGAGGAGTGGAAAGTCAGCAAGACGCACAGCAGGATGTTGACTGCGCCTTCAAAATAAAAGCAGTTTTTTTTTTTCACTTAGCATGTTGAGTCTGAAAGTCTTAGCTGCTGACTTTGCATCTCTGCTGCATCTGTTGTCAGCTTTTTCAAACATGCTCTTAAAAAGAAGATGGATTATCTCATAATAAGCAATGCAGAAGAAAGATAACCTATAATCTTGTTAATGTTTTGCCCCTTTTATAATAGTAAAGTAGAGGGAAAAAAAACTTTTTGGGGTTGGTGAATGCTCCATCCAGCTGACATTGCAAAAAAAAATTTTCATTAGCTGCAAGCAATGCTCATTGTCATTATTGATTCATCTGATTATTGTCTTGAACAATAGTTTTGTCAATGAAATATTACTAAATTGTGATAAATGTCTGTCCACAGCTGAAGGTGATATCGTCAAGTTCCTGAATTAATCCAACCGTCTGTCAGAATAACATAAATATATTTAGTTTTGAATCATATCTGACGAACAAAAGCAGCAAATTGAGATGCTCGAATTGGATGATTTGAGGAATTTTAAGCTTCAAAAATGACTTAAAAGGTTAATAGATAATCAAAATAGTTGCAAATGTATTGTCTGTTTCAACATAAGCCCACTCTTTCTCACTACTATTTATTGCCCTTAAAACATACTGTATATATCGACACAGCTTTTATTCTTTCAATGTGTGACAGGAAGTCGTTTGTGCACTGCGGCTGACTCGATGGTTCTGCAGAGTGGCGGGTCAGGAGGTTGAATGAGTGTTTAGTGTCAGAGGGGTTCCTGCAGGGAAGAGGTACTATGGGAGTCGCTCTGCACCTCAGTCTGCTCTTATTTCTGCATTGTGGGTCGTTCATCCTCGTTATCTCAGTGAGCTCCACTGTGGATTCACATACAACTCAGAGCCCTTTTCCTGCAGACAGAACCAACGCCACTGAGCTCCCCACCACGAGGTTCACAACCAGTTACAGCAAGTCAACAGCTAAACCTCCCAGAACCACCACAACTACTAAACATGTGACTGGAGACACTGGTGAGACAGCAGCGTCCAGAAAAGACACAAGAGAAGAAGAAGAAGGTCCTTTGGAATTGGGTGAGTGGATAATATTATCTAATGTTTGTTTTAACTCCTGTGGAACTGTTCAGTGTGACCATTTAATAATGGTTAAATTAAGCTCTAAACATTCTTGCAATATTAGTTTTTTTACTTTACCGTTTGTGTTTTACAAGCTGACTAATTGTTCAGTGGTTTGTGTCACACTACTTTCCCCATAAACAAACAGCCATGCTGGTAATGTGTGTACAGTAATGTGTTACTATGCAAACAAACACAAACTCCCCTGAGAACAAAGTAACCAGAACTTTGAGGAGCGAATGTGTTGTTTAGTTTGCGTCTTTAGAACATGGATCTACAAACTCTGGGAATAAGACATGTTCCTCGGGTCCCTCAGACCAGACCCCGATGTGTCAAAGTTTCCAAAGGTCAATGATTGGTGAAGTTGCAGCTCATGGTGACACTGCAGGATTAAAATAACAGACAGTACAATTATCTTTCCTGGTTTCCAGAAGCCTCTGAGATGTTCAGACTGCTGTCTCTGCATATCTGCAGTCAGAGACTCGGTGTCCGAGGGGTTGGGGGAGGATGTTCCACATTCTACCCTGAACGCTGTGAGACATTTTAGCTGCATGTGTTTTCTGCTGATGAAAACCAGATGGGCTGTGTGATGCCTCAAAAACAAAAAGAACAAGACCCCTCACACTCCTCAAAACCAATCGCGTGGCCTTTCAACTGACTGACGCTGTGAGCTGCAGCCAAATGGCTGTAATGTAAATAGACAAACAGCCAAAAACTCATTCAGGCATTTACATTAATCCAGTCTGAGGTTTGAAAGCCTGGTTTGTGCTGCTTGATGTAGTCCTCCATCTTAAATGTAGCTATAATCCTTCCAATCAATGTTAAAATACCCTTTTTTCACTTTCTCGCTGAGATTTAGACCAGGAGATTGATGCCTCTCTTGTGTATTTCAGTTGAATTTGAAGCCACAGCCTGCAGCTGGTTAGCTTAGCTTAGCATCAAGACTGGAAACTGGGAAACATTTAGCCTGGCTGTGTCCAACGCTCAAAACTCCACCTAGCAGTTCACTTACTAACAGTAAGCTATGTATTTTAACCTTTGAGCAGAGCCAGGCTAGCTGTTTCCCTTTGCCTCCAGTCTTTATGCTAAGCTACGCTAACCGGCTTCTGGTGGCTGCTTCAAATGTAACAGACATGCGAGTGTTATCAATCTTCTCATCTAACTCTCAGCAAGAAAGTGAATGAGCGTGTTTCCCAAAATAGTTTTTCCTACAAAGGGAAGTTTTATTCTAAATGGTTCTTCCTGGTGTTCTGTGTAAGTCATGTTCTTCAAGCTGTTTCCTACTCTGCATAAAATGGTTTGCATGTTTGTAGAAAGGAGGTCCACCAGGAGCGTTAAGGTAGCAAAGACGCCCCAAACGATCCCGAGGAAACCCAAACTCATCACCAAGAACCCGAAGGTTGTTAAGAAAGCCAAACCTCAGGTCAAACACAGCGTGAGCCAATCAGTGGTCTCGGAGACAGTCCCACGTATGTATGGGGGGGGGGGGGGGGCTAGCCCCGATGTGTACAGTATGTCAGTCAGACAAGGGTCACATGTTGGTGGCAAATAGTTTGAAGTGCTTTCACATGTGGGGTTTGCTCTGTCAGGACTCAAGTGGTCTCAGGGGAGTTTTGTTTTGATCCATTAAAACTTTCTGCACCAACTTCTGAAAGTTGAATGATGAACATGAAGCTCACTGAACACTGAACTGTCGGTTGAGACAAACCCACCCAGGAAAGCATCAAACAATATTAAACTATTTGCTGGTTTTAACACAAAGTTCAGACCCAGATCTGATTCATGTTGTGTCCCATGCTGAGTCAGCACATACTGTCACATACTGTCTGAAAACAGCTGCCAGTCTTCTTGATACACAAATAGAAAGGTGATCAGGGAGCTGCTGGCGATGAAGATGTCCCGTATCTTCATTCACTGCAGACATCGTCTCCTGTCCTCTTCCTGTCTTTGATGTTCTATTTGTCCAACTTTGTCTTCTTCTCCGTGTTGCTTCTCTCCAGCTACTCTCTCTCTCACACACAAACAAACTTTATCTACTGTGCTTCAAGAAAAGTCATTATAACCATAACCCTAAAACCGAGTTCTGACGTTAGAGAATGCTGTAATACACACACACACACACACACACACACACACACACACACACACACACATAAGGTGTGGAGGTGTGGTGTACTAGTGTAGTTAGTTTCCTTTAAGTCTGTTCAGTCGCGGCCGGCTCAACTTCCAGGTACCAACACACACCAGCTGTTTGGTGTATTATGTCTCTGTAAATGTGTGTGTGTGTGTGTGTGTGTGTACCAAGTCTTGTATATACTTTTGTTTTGATGAAAGAAAGACAGCAACATTGGAAATGTAGATGTGATTGGTGGTTATCATGTTTGACTCGCATGCACTTTGCACAACTACAGCGTAGACATTGCCAGACAGCCTTCTTTGAATCAGGATTCGGGATCAATTAGCCGGAAGGTCACGTCAAAAGAATCCAGGGAGAAGAGACTCAGGGTGGGGAACATCTTGGGGCTCCATCTTCCCCTTGTGGTTCCTTCAAAGAGACGAAAGAAGGCAACAAGGAAGTGACAAAGGGGGTTTAGGGATGTTAAAAGTGAGATACACAGGAGAGTGAATGAAGCTCTTCTCCCCTCAAAACATGTTTCTCTGGTTGCATTTCAGGACCACCATGTGCTTCAAGGTTTAGTCCCCAAACCAACAAACAATCTTCAGTTATTGACCCACATAATCAGCTGCTGGTGGAATGCTTCACAATAAATGCTTTTGTTCGTTTGCTCTCTGGCTCAGCTTCAGTAGGTTTCAGAAGTGTGTGGTTCAGCAGGAAGCCACCGGTCAACAGCAGCAAAGACATGTTTTTAAGAGTCACAGAGATCCAGCAGGACTACAAGGCAAACCGGGGGGGATGGGTCTTTATAGGAAACGCCACCTACACTTAGCATTCATTTATTCTGCTTCTATACTGTAGACTGAAACTTTTCAGCAGCCAGCAAAGCTTCCTGGCAGGAAGAGCTGAACCCTCCAGACAATGAGAGTCTGTCTGAGTCTTTAATACGGCAGCAGAGGACGCTGGACGGGTTCACAAAGACATTTCACCCACGAGAGGAGAGATTTCTCTGTTTCATGAAGTCATTCCTCATTTGATGTTTTTGATGATGGTGGTGGAGAGCATCGTCTGGCCTCTCTCTGAAATCTCCCACAGGTGGAAATATGGTTATTATAATATAGCCTTATAATTTCCATAACGATCATTCTCATCACACATCCAGTGAGCCCTCCCTCAACCTCTGGAACAATGACTTCTTCTTACTTTGCCGCTCTGCCTTCTACTGTTATAACATTAATCTACTGTCATGTTATAATAATATTCTACTGTCATGTTATAACATTATTCTAAAAGGTGATTAAATCCTTGTTGACTGTCAGAATGTCCTCCTCTGGGTCTGGAGTCGCTGAAGATCAAAAACAACCAGCTGAGAGCGTCTTCCTACAAACGCAGAGGCCTCGGCCCGCACCGCGGCCGGCTCAACATCCAGGTACCAACACACACCGACAGCAAACCTGCATCTATGACATGCTGCCTGCAGATCACACATATCACCGTGTGTGTGTGTGTGTGTGTGTGTGTGTGTGTGGAGTCTTGCAGTCTGTTTGGCTTCTGTCTCTGTTTCAACGCCCAAAGAGCTGCAGTTGTTCTACCAGCTGTTTGGTGTATTATGTCTCTGTAAATGTGTGTGTGTGTGTGTGTGTGTGTTGCAGTCGGGGATAGAGGACGGAGACATCTACGACGGAGGCTGGTGTGCTCAGCACAGGGACATGAAGCAGTGGCTGGAGGTGGACGCTTGGCGGCTGACTCGCTTCACCGGTGTCATCCTGCAGGGCCGCGCCTCCATCTGGAGGTCAGTACTGACGGTCAGAGTGGATGCTGGGAAATGTAGTTTTGTAGAGAGGTTCCCTTTAAAAAGCAGGGGATATTCTGTAATCAAGCACTGACCTCTAAATTCAATCTAAAAGTTAGCAGTGTACTTTTTATTGGTATGTTTTAAGACATAAATACCAGGCTTCCCTCTGTCCTTGTCTTCTCTTCCTGCTGAAAGAAGTTTTCTCTAATGGTGCATCATATTTTGGACTTACTTGCACTGTTTTCGGTGTGTCCCGTGGAATGATATGAACTACATGTGTCTTGTTCACACACAGTTGGAACATGGTGCATTCCTACAAGGTGCAGTTCAGTAACGACTCTCTGGTCTGGAGGCCGTCGATGAACGGGACCGAAGAGGCTGTGAGTCAACGCATTGTTCTTCTGAACCCTTATCTCTCTCTAGAAAAAATAGACACCTCATTTTAACATGTATGTATTACTAAAGATTTCACCCATAACCCCATTCTTCCCCCATTCCACCCTAAACCAAAACCTCACCCCAGCAACCCCGAATGACTCCACCCCCCATCCTCTGGTAGGAGTGAATCTTAACTTAACTAAGCTCCAAGAAAACTCTCCAGGACGTAAACAGCTGCTTTCCATATACTATTTCATTGCCTTATGTCTTAAAACTATAAATACGATGAGTGAGTACTTACCTATACCAACCGAACATTCTATTTTTCACTAAATTATTGTACTAAATCACTTAATGCTTTCTAGGAATTGTCCTAAAAATGAAAAAGTACACCAGCAAGTTATTGGAACATTTTCAACAAAATTGGTTGGACACTAAGGGACGTTGCTAAGTTGGCAATACTCGTATGTATGAATTGATATATCATATTCTGTCAGAGAGGAGAAAGTCGTGCTGCTGTTTTACTGGCTTTTGGCACATTTCATTTTAATTCTTTTTTGGTCATTTGTAAATTACCTGTTGTACATTTTTAAGTAAATGCTTCATGTCGACACTCCTACACTTGATGTTTGATGTCAGTTAAGGGAAGAAAATAAGAAAATGAAAGTCTTGACAGTGTAATTTACACTGTTTTTTTTGTTCAAGATGCTAAACAGGTTTGTACACTTTGCAGCCATGGTTGGGTTTGTTTATTGGAGTGATCTTTGTGCCACAGCTGACCATGAAGTGTCAGTTGTGAGAAGATTCTTTCTCATGGAGCATCACACTGGTTTAAATGTCCTTGAAAGTCCCTGGCATTGTGATTTCATGTTTTTGCATCTAAAACCACGTCGTCTCCCACAACACTCTGAAGGCTCCTTGTGTTTCACCACGTCTCCTTGTGCTGCAGGTGTTTGAGGGAAACCAGGACTTGGAGACGCCCGTCCTCGCCCTTTTCAACACTTCCACGGTGGCCCGCTACATCCGGATCAACCCTCAGACCTGGTACCAGAACGGGACGCAGGGCCACATCTGTCTGAGAGCCGAGGTGCTGGGCTGCACACTCCCAGGTACCGGGAGCCAACTGCTGGGAACAGTGTTTTTTAATAGACATTTAATGTGATCACTTTTGTTCTATTATTGGTCGCTGTAACACGCACACCTTTACCGTTATCACAGATCCAAACAACATCTACGCGTGGCAGACAGAGCCAACGGAGTCTAAAGACAAACTGGACTTCAGACACCACAACTACAAGGAGATGAGAAAGGTAAGAGCGATGGAGTTTAACAAGAAGATCGTGTTCTTCAATCTGCTCACTGAGATTTAACGAGGACATTTCTTGGCCCGCATAAAAAAGCTTTGCCATCAAGAGATATATTCTATAAATAAAACTCCAGTCCTGGGTTGACACACCGACCAGATTTTGGTTTTTGCAGTGAGTCTAGGAAGCTCCCACAGTGTGTGTGTGTGGTCTGGTCTCTCTGATTATGGGAGACTTCCCTCCTTCATGGCAGCGTCCTCACGGTGCTGCGGTCTGTTTTGGAGATGCCGTCCTGCATCTGATGGTCAGAAAACAGCCCACAGAAACAAACAGACATCCTCATTCAGCCTTTTAACACAACGTAGACAGGTCCGACATATGAGTGAGAGTTTATGATGGGGCTGAGAAGACACGATGCCACCCGCAATAATTTCATATAAATCATTCGTCCCCTTCAGTTACCTCATTGAAATGTATTGAAAATGTTCTGCTACAGGAGATAAAGCCTTCACACCAGTATAGTTTCCATAGACGCCACGTCTTCATGAATGGGCAGATCATGAGACCTCTACCACGCAGCTGTTCAGCTTCTTTTTGTTGTTGTTTTTGTGTCTCTTTGTAGTCATTACGCATCTCTCTGTGGTTTTGTGTTGCTTTGCAGTTGTTTTGTGTTTCTTTGTGGTTATTTTGAGTGTCTTCCTTGTGGGTATGTGTCTCTTTGAGAGACATTTTGAAGGCCCCGGGGCCCCTGACACCTAAGACCTCTAGGCCCGTTCAGTAATCCATGACTCAGTTCTTCTGTAGCGTTTCTCACAGACTTAATATTCAACGCTGTTTTGAGTCTGAGATGTGTTCACACTGGTAAAAGACAAAATGTGGGTCTTTGTTGTCGTTTCCCAGTTGATGAAGTCGGTGAACGAGGCGTGTCCCGACATCACCCGCATCTACAGCATCGGGAAGAGTTACACCGGTCTGAAGCTCTACGTCATGGAGATCTCCGACAACCCTGGGAAACACGAGCTGGGTGAGACACAATGGAGACACAAACTCTACCACAGGACATCTACCATGTTTAAAAGGAACAATCTCACTCTAAGGTTCATCATATCTAAAATGTAGAAGATCTAATTGGTTCATTTTCATCATTTTCATCAACCAAAAGCTTAAAATTGTTATACTATTTTCAAAATAGTACATTCTTGCACCAGTTCAGGATTAAAGGTTATGAGTTGGAGAAGCTCAATGACATATTGAAGTTCAGCCTCAAAGACTTTCTTCTTTAACTTAAATTGCAGTCTTCCACTCACTGCATAGTTGCCACATTGCTTCTGCTCCATGAGAGGCATCATTTACTGGAATGAGGGACAGATGCTTTGCGATCACATGATCTAAGGGGTCAGAGGGGACTGTCACTGTATCCCAAACCCAGTCCAGCACTGTGTGGAACATAACCCTACACAGACCAGAGCTCCCCTTCGCTGGCTCTGAGACGTAGCCTACAAATGTTTTCCTTGGCCTCCTTCGATCTGCCCACATGGCAGCAGAGTGGAGAGGTTTTTGATGCTGCTGTATTGGCTGTGCCACTGATACTTGTTTTGTATATCTCAGTATGTCTAACTGGAGATTAGATAACAAAATAAATACATCGCAAAGATGAATTGCACATCAAAGGGTTACATTCTTAAAGGTAAAGTGTGTTACAGCAAACAGGCAAAGTCTGAAAACCAGATCAAAACCTCACATTACCTTAAAGAGTCTTATCTCTGTGAGGTGTTGCTGTATAAGTTGTATAAGTCACACTGGCTCAACCAAAACATAGATTGAAGAACCTCAGTAGTGCTTCCAGCTCCAGTTATTGAAGTAACGCCATCAGACCGAGTCAAGAGAAACTCCTCCTCATAAACGTTGTGAGGAGGACGTGTGAGGTTTCAGAGCTCCCTGTCGATGCATGCGGACCAAACAGGAAACAGATCCAGGCCTTTCAGCGCGGTCTGTGAAAAGAGGTACTTTGAAAGCACAGGTCGTGTGAGAGTATGACAGTTTCTGAGGATGATGTAGCACGCTGCTACCCTCAAAAAAAGATGCTTGGTTGTGATTGTAAATAGACTTTTCTATCTGTTTGAACTGGTTTTGACTATAAAAAAAGCCTTAAACATGTCAAAAGGTAAATGCACATTAGAACCAGTGCTCTTAGCTCTTATCTCTTAATCCCCCCCCCCCTGCAGGAGAACCAGAGTTCCGGTACATTGCGGGGATGCACGGGAACGAGGTGCTGGGCCGAGAGCTTCTGCTCAACCTAATGCAGTACATGTGCCGGGAGTACAAGCGGGGCGACCAGCGCATCGTCCGCCTCGTCAAAGAGACCCGCATCCACCTTCTGCCCTCCATGAACCCTGACGGATACGAGAAGGCCTTCAAAAAGGTGCCTGTGCATTCAGACCCAGAGTGTGCGGTGGTCTCTGTGACGGCTCCGGACCTGAGTAAACACAAAAGGCTCTATCCCCCCCCCCCTCTCTCTAATGTGCAGGGCTCAGAACTAGCGGGGTGGGCCTGGGGTCGCTACAGCTACGAAGGCTTCGACATGAACCACAATTTTGCCGACCTCAACTCGGAGATGTGGAACGCCATCGAGGTGGAGACGGACCCGTCCAAACTCATCAACCACTACTTCCCCATCCCTGAGCACTACACCTCCGAGGAAGCCTTTGTAAGTGTTATGTGCACACGTCACTCCCACCATTCATCCTACTCTCATTCTCTTTTATCCTCCTTATCGCTTCATCCTGTTTCTGTTCATTTGAGAAACAGCAGCACTATTAGTGCTAATGCTGGAAAAAACAAACACATCAACAGTAACTCTGCGAAATTGAGATTCCATTAATAATAAAATACACAAAGAAATGTTTGATATTGTTTATAGTTCAGGGAGTTCCTTCCTTTCAAGGCCCTCACAGGTGTTTTCACTTACTCTGGTTGATTAGACTTCTGATTGGACCGTAGACTGATGACACGTGTCGGAGCAGAGTGAGGGAGATGTCAATCAAACACAGCCTGAACACGCCCACACAGTCACGAGCAGAGGTCTAATCAGGGAAAGTGAAATCACCTGTGTGAGGCCTTTCAGACGCGACGGTGATCTAAACATTACGTGTTAAGCTTTAAATTCCATTTGGACCACGAGGCTTTGACTGCACTTCTGTTGGTTTTTGAATAAAATAATGATATGCTGAAATTGAATAAATACTCATTTATGGTAAAAGACAGACAAATAAAACAACACAGGAAGGTGTATCGATGACCAATAAAAGAAACTCTTGCTTGAAGAACAGAGGTTATCTATAAAACCGGTCTGATGTGGTGAAAACATCAGATAAATGTCAAAAAAACTTAAAAAACAAACATTTGCACATATAAAATATATTGGAGTCCATCTTCTGACTGAATCTCCAACTCTGACATCAGGTGGCGTCAGAGACCCGAGCCGTCATCAACTGGATGCAGGACGTCCCGTTCGTTCTCGGTGCTAGCTTCCACGGCGGAGAGCTGGTGGTCACCTACCCGTATGACATGACCCGGGACTGGGCGCCACGCGAGCACACGCCCACTGCTGACGAGAGCTTCTTCCGCTGGTTGGCCACGGTGTACGCCAGCACCAATCAGGTAAATCCCCGTGTCACTTCCTGCTGCCGTCTTCAGGAAAGGTGCATTATTATGTACTCACTATCTTAAATATAAAACCAGGTGATGTCCAACCCAGACCGGCGGCCCTGCCACAACAAGGACTTCCTCAGATACAACAACATTATCAATGGAGCCGATTGGCACACCGTACCAGGAAGTAAGAATGTGTTTGTCAAAGTAAACTTATGTGTGAACTTAACGGCAGACAACCATACACTTTTTAAAGTATTTTATACATTGTTATATTTATGTATAGAGTTTATCAGGTGATAATCTCAGTGCCCGATTTCATCTCTTTATATCATGGAGTCAACTGCTAATATTTCACCATGGACCAACAGCAATTAAGTGAAACAACACCGTAGTGGGACTCCATCAAGGAAGGCTGAAAATATCCATATGTGTGTTTTTCTCTCCTCGCAGGTATGAATGATTTCAGCTACCTGCACACCAACTGCTTCGAGGTGACGGTGGAGTTGTCCTGTGATAAATTCCCTCACGTCAGCGAGCTTCCCGTCGAGTGGGAGAACAACAGAGAATCTCTGCTGGTCTACATGGAGCAGGTCTGTCTGCTTTGTTCGAGTTCTGCTGAGATGTTGATCTGATCTCTTCTTTCTTTTTACAGTGCATTGCTATTTTATATCAGCAACAATAAAAACAAAACCATCTCGTTGTTGTTGTTTTAGGTCCACCGTGGCATAAAGGGGGTGGTTCGTGACAAAGACACAGAGGCTGGTATAACAGACGCCATCATTAAAGTTGATGACATTGATCATCATATTAGATCAGGTACAGTCTCACATCTCACATCAGAGATTAGTTCTCATCAGAGGAAAAGTATCGTAGGAATAAGAAAATATGACATAAAAAAGTCTCAACAATGTCATACCTTTGTTGCCATAAAGATTTTCACCAAAAAACATAAGAAAGTCAGTTTATTATCTCATGAATTAAAAAGTCAAAGTAAAGTATGTCATTTTAAAAAGTGTCATAAACAATTATAGTATAATTTGTCATAAAAAGTCACCGCCCATCATCTGAACAATGTCTGCTGTCTCTTCTTTTCCAGTTACTGATGGCGACTACTGGCGGCTGCTGAATCCCGGTGAGTACCGGGTGACGGCGAGCGCAGAGGGCTACTACCCGTCCTCACGCACCTGCCAAGTCATGTACGACCACTACCCCACAATCTGCGACTTCCGCCTCACCAAGATGCCCCGACAGAGGCTAGAAGACATTTTGACCAAGGGGGGTAAACTCCCCAAGGACCTGCAGCTTCGGCTGCGACAGCTACGCCTGCGTAAGCTCCGTGTCGCCACCAAGGCCATCAACCAGAGGCGGACGGCCTCTGCTGCCAAGCGGGCGAAGAGGATGTGATCGATGACTGAAGACAGGAGAACAAAGCTGGACTTGGTTTAGTTCACTGGATTCATGTCGCTTTTATAACCAAAAAGTCCAGTTATCAAAGAGAACACAGCTTAGAGCAGCTGAAGGTACCGTTACTCAGCTAAGGCCAGTGATGTGGTGGCTCTCTCAATTAGAAATGAATGACCAGGAGGATTTAAAGTGTTGACTTTCAGCCGTCAACGTGTTCCCATGCGGGAATCGTTCCCTTTTTATACACTGCAGCAGAAAAGAAAGGTCTAGAGTTTCTACACCGGCAGTGTAAACACTCATAGTCACTGTTTATATTCATATCCATTGTGCCAGAATGCAGAGCAGAAACATCTATGAATGTGTCATTGTCTTAATACCTGTATTGTTGAATGAAGGTGCAGAGTGGAGGTTGTTGGATAGAAGCCCTCACCTCTTTGGATTGGTACTAAGACCTGGTCACTTAAATCATTAAAGTAAAAACATTTGTCATCACACTGGATGTGATACCATTCGTTAAATGTCTGAACTCCATATAAAAATGTCACAAGATGTCATAAAAAGTTACGTTTTCCATTATTTTATCAGTTGTCTTTATTTGTTTTTTTGTTACTCACCTCTCGTTTCAGGTCACTTCACTTCCTGCCTTTGTGTGTTTTCCCACCACTGATTGTCTGCCCCGCCCCCTGATTGATCCCACCTGTGTCTAATCACCTGCACCTGTCCGGTATATTTAAACCCAGTGTTCCTCGGTCTCTGGGCCACTTTGTCCTCGTCATCGAGTGGTTTAGATTCTCCTCGTGTTCTGACTCTACCCGTGTAACGAATCTCTGCTGTTGAATAAAGACTATTTCACCTCGTCCTGCAATTCAGTCCTGTTTTTCCTCAGTCGTAACAATAGTAAAGTTTGTCCTTAAAATGTCATGAAAAAAGTCCAGAAAAAGCCACTCTTCTTCTGTCCACATTTACATTACAGCAGTGTGGTGACTCACAGGATCTAAAAGAATGAAGGACTATAGAGGAGTAAAAGTGATGACTCTCAGCTGTCAAGGTCTTGAAAAACATTCACGTTTCATAGACGGCAGCAAAGTGACAGGGCGGTTCCTTCACCGTTCAAAGAATGTTAATGTAAACTTCCTCAGATTCTTCAGCAGTTCCCACAGTTTCAATTAAAACCCATTGAGCAGGATGCAGATCCAAACCACCATAACTGTCCTCTGTGATTGTTGAACGATGGTGCAGAATGGAGGTTGATTCTGGGACCAAAAAGTTGCATTTCTGAACTCCAGAGAATCAAGACGTTTGGAGAGGAAACATTAACGGAAACTTTATTTATTATATAATTAACATTTGACTTTACAGTTTAAAAAAAAACCAATAAAAACTAGTTTCACATTAGAATAGCAAGCTTCCACTTGACACCGTTTCTCATCTTCGGCGGCATCAGGACCTCAGCAGCTACAAGAGGAGGAAATGTATAATGAGGAACAACGTTCAAAACAGGAGAATCGCTGTGACCTGAGAGGTCATGAGACCTGTAACGCTACACATGCTGCTGACCTGGTTGAGAGGCTGCAGGTCTCTGCTGCTGCTGGAAAGAGGCCATGATGCTGTTTGCTGTCGAGTTTGGCCCGGTGAGCTGAAACGCACCAATGAGACCACAGTTACGTCAAAAATACAACAAAAGTATAAAAAAATATATGAACAACACTGCATTGTTATTCCTCATTAGTCCATGGAAAGAGTTTAATCCTGATTTTACTCATTCGTTACAGCAACAGACCTAAAATTATACTAAAACCAAGTGTGTGTGGGGAAAGAACAACATATTACTGTGATGTTATATTGTATGATATTTACCGGAGCTTGGTTGTTCTGCAGGTTCTCGAGCCACACCTCAGGAACAGCCGCCTCCATCATCTGCAGAGCCTCCTCGTAGGCCGGCTGCAGCTTCTCCGCCTGTTTGTCAAACTGGAACAGCACCAGAGCCTTCAGCAGGCCGTGCACCTCCTCTGCAGGAAGGAGGAGGAAACAGTTTGGGACATGTCCAGACAATGCTGATTAAATAGTGAAGAGCCGTGAAGCGTTCGTACCTCTCATCTTGTCCACAGTGGTGAGGATCTCACCCAGAGCGTACATCAGCGCTCTGTCCTCCATCGGGCTTCCTTCCTTCAGACTCAGCTTCTTCCTCTCTGCTTTACGGCGGTTCTTTGACGATCTCCTGCAGGCGAGAGCGTGGACGTTAAAAATGAGTTATCACAATTAATCATGTGGGGAAAAAATCACCAGAATCGGACAATTTGTAGTTGTTTTTGTTGGTCTTACGAGGAGACGCGGGAGTTGCTCTGGGAGTATTTGGAGCCGGTCATCACACTGCTGGCTTCAGAGTAGAGCTCAGCATCAGGGCAGTCTGGACCGTCCTCATCTGAGGGAGAACACAGACGGTTACTGACAGATTAATTATTATTCTAACGGCAGAATATCTTCTCTACTTAATGAATAGCTTGATTCTCTCCCTCTTGACCGTATTTAGACATATTGTGGTGATAGTACGACTGGAACATATCGGGAATACAGATGCTGCTGTGCATCTGGTCCGATTCCTTTCATTCCATAAAATCGTCAAAATATGTTCAAATCAAACACGTCATTTCTGACTTCTTCTCACCCAGCATGTCCAGCCTCGCCTTCTCTTTCTGCTCTCGAACCACAGCCAGCCGGGTCTTGTGCCGCGTGAACGTCGCTACTTGGGCCTCCAGGAAAGCCGTCTGGGTGCCGACAGCTGACGCGAAAAGATATTATCACCGTTCAAATGTTTCATAAACAGGAGGAGAAGAAGAACTGTCCGTCACATGGCCGAGTCAGTGTGACTGATCCTTACCTTCCAACAGAGCAGGTTTGAGGTTGGTTTCAGTGATGTCCTGTCGGTTGTGCATGTAGATCTGAAGCACACAAAGAAAACACCTCATGGTTTTGTCAAAAGACTAATAAATGAAGAAACAAAAGTAAAAAGACAATCAATGACTGACCAATCGGAGCGCCTCCTCCCAGACTGAGCCAGTGATCAGAGCCAAGATGGCCTCCTCACAGTCCTATTGGAAAAGAAGAGTGATTTTATTTACAATATTTAAACTTTAACTTCATAAGTAGACACTTTTTCTGCTGCAGAGGATCTTACTTTGGCGTACTGGTCCAACAGCAGAGCAGCTTCAGAGTATCGTCGCTGTTCAGTCAGCTTCTCTATAGAAGGAAGGGAAACTATTACCATGTCTGACCAGCTCACCGGCTACCTGTCTGTCTGTCTGCGTGCCTGTCTTACCTGCCAGGTCCCTGGCCAGCAGAGCCAGCTGGTCGGGCTGTAGTGGGATCTGCTGCGCCGCACAGATGGCGTTCCTCCAGCTGGAGCTGCTGGCGAAGGCCTGCAGGGCGCCGACTGGCTCTCCGCATCGCCAGAGCAGCAGGCCGGCCTGCTCCGCCTGCTGCTGCTCCATCAGGTGCTCAGCGTAACAGCAGCTCAGAGCCTAGAGGTCACAGGTCAAAGTAAACGTGTTTTAACCGGATTAAAGATATAGTGGACTAACACACACCAAGACCATTTTCTCAAGTTCCTCCACCACGAATCTCACAAAAGCACCATTTTAAATATTCTGTTTACTAGAGATGAGCTCAAAAGTTTCTCGGAAATAAGTCATTCAGCGTGAAAAAGCTTAAAATAAGGAAATCTTACTAATAAGTCGACTTATCGACTAAGAAGTTCAGCCTTATTAAAAATGCCCCAAATAATGACAGTTGCCCATCGTTGGTGAAGCAAACACTGATGACATTAGACAAGACAGCACTGAAATAGTCTTGAGTAGCTGTGTTTGTGTTTCTGTACCTTGTATTGAGCCCCGTCTGCTGCGTACAGTCGCAGAGCTTCACTGTACAGCTTCTGCTCCTTCACGAGCTGCAGAGCTTCATGGAAATGTTCGTCTCCTGAACACAAATCACAACACAGATTGGGTCACAGAACCAAAAACACCAACACACAGCCTGCTGTTCCACTTCTTTTAGGTTAACAGATCAACATCTGTTGGTTAGTCACGTCGGTGAAAGGGGAAGAGCAGACAGAAGCATTCACACTGACCACACTTGCTGAGGTGATGCAGGGCCTTCCTGTAGCGCTTCAGGTGCTTGTCGATGGTGAAGCGCTGGTAGTTCGTCTCCAGGCTCTTCAGCATGTTTAAGAAGGGAAGGTACTCTTTGGGGTCCTGCAGGGATTATAAACAATAATGAAGAGTGTAAAGCATTATTCATGTTATCCTGGTGCTGCAGTTTCTGGCTGTGGAATGTTGGAATCCATCTAAGATTTGTGAAAATCAAAAAAGTAATCTATTCACAATTTGAACTAGTTACCTCTTGTTCTCTTCATATCCTGTATTGTTTTATTATTTTGTACACACCCTCCTTTCTGGATTAAACTTCATCACTTGTGTTTTCCACAAACATTCCACACAACATAAAAACAACAGTAAACAAACAGGAAGAAGCTCTTCTCCTCCCGTCAGAGCTGATTGTCTAATGAGATTCTGAAGCACCTTGCGGCGTAACTTAACATATTAACGAGTGAATCTGTGCGATATCTGGCAGCTCAAACACCTTGTCTCGGTTTTGGTGCATACATCTGCATATTAATGAGGACAGAATGTCTCCTTGAACACTTCTTCATGCTTTAAGCAGCAGAGGTCATGAACATCACAGGAGGTCGGTGAACAGAAATGAGAGCTTTATAAACAACCTCATTAACATAACCAGTGCGTCGTCGTACCTTCTGGGATTTCTCGGCCACCATGAGCACGAGGTCGAAGTCGTACGTTCCCAGAGAGTGTTCGTACAGGTCGTTGACGTTGACGAGGAAGAGGAGGTACTTCAAAGCCTCTTCAGCACTCACAGCACCGGGAGCATGAGGAGGGTTAACTGGACGAACACAGCACACAATGAACAACTCCAACATCACCTGCTCCTCTCTCTGTGTGTGCGTGTGGCTGAGCATGGCTCGACAGAAATGGTTGCAATTGTCAACCAGTTCTCGGCCTTTGGTTGCCATCAGTGGCTAGTGTTGAGCCCCGCTGAGTGAAACAGAGCTCATGGTATCAGTTTAGGGTTCCTGCAGGTCACCAGTGTGCTCACCTCGAAGCTCGTGGACTTTCTGCAGAGCGATCTCCAGCTCTGGAACCGTCTTCTTCACGTGAGTCGTCAGTACGGACAGAAAGAACCTGGAAGGTTGACAACATGATGGGTTTATATCTCACTACTGCTCTGTCTGTTTTTAAGACTTCTGAACCAGGCCGCAGTCCCGTCTCAAGCCTTCAGGGGGCGTGAATGAGTCAAAGTCTCTTGAGATTCTAAACACATGTTTCTCAATAAGTTTCAGGATCACTGACTTGTTCGGATCCATTGACTCCATGGCGCTACGTAAAGCATCACAGACTACATCCACCTTCTTCTGCCCAGAGACCGGCTGAGTCTGGACCGAGCTGTTCTCAGGGCGGGGGTACATGGTGCTGGTTGTATCCTCCTCCCTGGGTACCAAAGAGGGGAAAACAATGCACAA